CTGAGAATTTATTGATCTGCATTGAACTGAATACAGCTGGACTATATTCAAAATGAAACATAAACAGAACTACAAAGGATTCTATACCAGTTAATCGGCATTCACAATTCTATAAATGCCTACTAAACACAATCCATGGCTTCAATGAAAGTATGAGTGGTTGAGTCGTAGGGATTGTTAAATGCCATTTTTACATTATCAAAGTAAACGGAAACTTGTTTATGGTCTTGAGTTGTAATCTTCGGTTCCTGGATGTACACGACACCTTTATGGTGTATGCATTAATAACTCAATATTCCTTCAAAACATTTATTTTATCGACAAAAATAATGGGTTTACAGTTGTATTATCTTGGGCTTTTTCACGTTATGTATAATCCATTAATCGGTACTGGGCGAGAATGATGGCTATCTGTGTGTGATAGAATGATGACAAAAATAGTAACGGCAACGTAAATAAGGTATAGTTATACAGATGGTTACACAACTGATCAGCGAAACGTGTGAAACAGTAAGTTTGGCCATAAAATACGCGTATATATCTCCTTGTATTGAATAAGTACCTACTGTAATGAAAATGCACCACTATATATGTCTTATTATATGGAGGGTTTTGTGATGGTTTTTTTATTATATACGTAATCATTTATCGTGGAATCGAATATACATGTATATATTTAACAACTATGACAGAGTGCTTCCAAGTTGTGAAAAGTATCGGTAATATGTGTCGACTTGGTTAAATACTAGCCGCTTTCTACCGACTCGGATAAGGGAGAATTGCTCATTTTCTCGTTCGGTAGAGCGTAAGACTATATATAGCTAGTAAACCAGAGGTCCCGGGTTCGACTCGAAGCGGAGGCATTGAATAAATAATTACCTCTGTTACATATGCCTTACGAGTAAAATCTGTAAAGAATTCAGCAAAAGATAAGAGAAAACCACAACTTTTTTCTGTTGAGTACACCTTTTTTTTTAAAGCAAGAAGACGGAATATGCTAATCACACGTAACGCTTGACAACAAGGCTGTGCTACCTTTATTTTTCTGATACTGTACGTGTGGTAGAATTTGTTTACAAAGTGGTTCCACGATATTTAATAGTTATTTACCATGATTATCTTACTCGAGTTTTTTCATTTTCTGATTGAAAAAAACGAAAAAGGTTGTAAGTGATTTTAGTGTATTTTTAGAAAAAAAATTCAAATGAAGTAACGAGCGTTAGATAAGCATAAAAAACTACACTCGCGATTATTGATTCGTATCACATTATATTACCTGCTAGGTAATCGCTGGTTGATCTTGATTGATGTAATATTTACATGTATGTTAATTAATACGACAGCCCCATATAACCATGTCTGCAGCTCTTCGTCCAAATGCTATTTAATAAAATTATATATTTTGAAACTGATTCATTTAAATCGATTCTAAGCATTCATTATGTCTCCTTATTATAGATTTACGCATCAATCATGTTACTTCATTGCCGAAATTTAAAGGTATCAGTCCTCAAATCACCGCTTTCCACAGAACATAATTGTAACCAAGAAATGAGCTTGGAGATTTTTAATTAACCGATATATTACTACTTATGCTTTACCAATATCTCTGCTGTTTAATTATGGCATATGGGTTGATAAGCAGTGCCAATTTTGATGGGAAAATTGTAGGTACGTAATCATCTGACGTCTCAGATTGCGCGAGTTCATAGGCGTAATGTTGGTATCCATTTGTTCAAGAGACGCCATGTAAACACATATGAGTGGTATTGTCTACCAACTAGGGCTGTACCGATACAATAGCATGACGATACTGTGGTCACGATACGATACGTATCACGATGAACTGGTCACGATACGATACGTTTCACGATAATGTGGTCACGATACGATACGTATCACGATAATGTGGTCACGATACGATACGTATCACGATACATAGTAATAAAAGAAGCAAAGAGAAAAGACATGGTGCAATTTTTTAATGGCAATCTTACAACTGGAAATAGACTTGGTCCAAAATGAGCATGACTGTTAAGGTTTCACACAATGCACGTCTTTCGATGTGCTTGTCGGGTTGGACGTTCACTCCCCATGTTGGAACCGATGAGAGTAGACTTAATTCAGAAACGACAAAATCCAGATAATATCGTTGGTGTATCGTAACCTCCCAAAAAGTATTGTGAATCGTTCCGCATTCAAAATATCGCAATATATCGTCGCACGATATATCGTTGCAGCCATATTATCAACATAATAAATCTGATATTTACACAATGCTTTACACGACAACACTTTTGGTATTAACCAATAAAAAGAGCCATTTTTATTCACTGCATTCACAGTTATTCTGGTACGGTCAAATCGGAGCACAGCCATTAAAAACGACAGGCAGACTTGTTGTTTACTATAACGTCATTATTATATGGCATCAAACATTATGCATTTGATTTGTCACCTTTTATGCCGTATGGTTTATGTACTTTAAAAAAGAATGTGTAGACAATTTAGTCGTATTTCCATTAAATACCATATATATTTCACTTAGCATGTACGGCGGATACCAATACTTAACTCAATCTTCGCAGTCATGAAGAATTGTGTTGTTAACAAAAAATATTGTCATTGTTATGCTCGAGAAATACAAATGTGCATATAGTATTCAACGGTAAAGCATTTAATATCTACTTTTCGTTAGTGATATAGTGCTAGAGAGTATTTCCTCTATATTGGTATGAAAGGTGTTCCTTTTCTGTGGTTACTAACTCTAGCATACATGAAATGTAGTTACTGTAGCATACAGGTAATAATATGGTTACTGAAGCATACATGATGTGTGCAGATACATGAAATGTGGTTACAGTGGTACAATGGTATACATGGTGTTCACTGTAAGCTGTTACTGAGGTTTCTATGGTTACTGAGGTTATTGATGTACATTATGTTTGTTTATTATGGTAAGTGTTGTATACATAATAGAAATTATCTGTTGTCACACTTGTATACCTCAGTCCACTATATGTGACTTCTATCCTTAACATGTTGTGCATGCAATATCACTCCACAAGTGTTAATGACAAGTATATAATTAATTAGGAGAATTGAAGTGTAAGCCAATCACCGGATAGTGCAGACAGTAGTAGCGTAATAGTGGTCGACTGTCGGCCATGATTCCACATCCTGCGCTAAGAAGGATGTATTACACTTTCTATAGATCAATCGTCTGCCCCTGGTCAACTCGATCTCCTCCCTCACCCGGAGATGACCAGGTCATCAGAACACTTCAATACATTTATTACTAAGTGCTCTCACTACATAACTTCGTTTTGCCTATGGTAAAGCCCTGTCCTGATGTTTCTTATACATGTTCAATAACTAGCCGTTTGAAGAGAGTCCAAAAACATTGCAGTAATTCAAATTAAACGTGGTTACCTGTGCGATAAAGAGACTGCAGTATCGGAGCTGATCGATGATGCTATACATATAGCTAAGGCTCTATGGAACAAAAGTCCCTTGGATTGGGTCCAGGGATACGGCGGCGTGCTATATCGGGCCTCTATAAATTGTACGTACAAAAAAAAAATTGTTGTACGTATAAGATGGAATGTTGTACGTACAATGTACAAGATAATAAGTTAAAGATAATTGTAAGTATCGTTTACGTACAAGATCAATTTAGTTTTACAGTAGCACTAATACGCCGCCGTACAGGGACGAAGACTCAGTTGTGTCGCGAACCGAGAACTGTAGTTTTTCTTATTTTGATCAATAGTTTCTTAACTGTATGCAAGAGGATGGAAAACAAATTACGGTACAGTTTTCCGGGAAACTTTCACTATAGTACAATTTTCGCCTTTTTCGCCCTCCGTAATGTTTTGATTTTATCAGTATATTTTGTATCATTTTATTCTATTTTCTCATCTTAATCTCTGCAAAATGTAGGTGAGTGTGTACGGAAGGTATACACTCAGCTAAGAACCCCACAACCATGGATCCACCAATGTGAAGAACACATATTAGGCACTAATAAAATGGAACAGCTCCCCAGTATTAACAGGAGCTTGACAACCTTATCAGCCGTCACGTTCACTGCAGTCGGAGACAGAACCCTCGTTATACGTTCTAAAATCCCGTACTGTGACACACGGTGGTGTTCCGGAAAGGTAGCAGCCACCTTAGGGAATTGTTTTTTTTCATTTGCTACGTGAAAGTTTAAAGCTATTGCCACATTTAAAAAGGATGTTGAAACACGTTAGCAGACGGTTTTGACTTTAAGTTTAAAGCAATGATGCTGATGCTGGGAGGATTGATACTCACGATGTTTCGCAGTGTAATTCGTACTACGTGTATGGTGGCCCTCGTTTATACAATGTATATTTAGATGTCCTATATAGATATATGTATGCTTGCATAACTCTAGGACGATTACAACACATTTACTGTAAAAAGTATTAAGAGTAATATTGCAAATAGGAAAAATGTAATGATGCAAAATTAGATTTATGAAAAAAACGGATGAACATCATTTATGAAACAGTTAGGGGGAAGAGGGACATATGTACGACAAATAGTTTCCAATAATGTGAATATATCTTAAACCAAATTACAGATATGCACACCTTTTTATCAATTTCTAGTTCAAAAGATATATTTTGTAAACGTTACTTATTGCCCGGCTTGTTCGGTTTAGACAAGTTCCATGGTAACTAACTTGTCTATTATAAACGGCTCTATTGGGCCCTGGTAATGTTTGGTTCAGGAAGGATTCACGCTATTAACTTTCTAGTTGTCTTTCTGTATAGATTAATGACTTAAAGGCCTTACATAAACATGTAGTATGCATTTCAGTGGCGGATCCAGAGGGTTTTTTTGGGCTTCAGGAACATATGTATTGTATTTAGAAGTAATGGTAATGTTAAGGTATCTAATCATTATGGAAGCATTATAGAAGCAATACAGTAAATTTGCAGTGGTCGTTCACAGTGTATAATGATATTTACCTTGAGAGCTGTTGCTCCGCTAGTACCTCTGGTTGGATTCTTACCAAGAGAATGACCACGATGAATAGTGTCCACTTCATATTGTCCTCCTGTATCACTAACTGATCACTTATATTGACCATTTGATCCACGTGTAAGTCCGGACAGAGGGTAGTATTGTTAGTTACATGTCAGTCGTGCATCAGTCCGACACTCACGGTGTCTGACCATAGTAAACATCGGCGTATACGTAGTAAACACTATATCAAACGGCCAGTGTCAATATTTCCCCAACACGTGCACGTCAGATTTAACACAGCGCTCACAAGTGTACCCTTCGTGCAAGATAGACAGCGGGAGTGAAACACTTAAACCATTGTTGTTATCAACACATCCACATCAAATACTGCAGGAATAACGAATCATGGTCTCCCTAATTATATGTGCACGTGCATAACATTATATCTCTGTGAAGATGATTCGTCACGTGATAGAGCTATATTTATCTCTCACTGGAGCACGTGGTGTAAACAGCTACACACGCTTACCGACCACACTGCACCGTCTTGTCAGCCACTGAAGCTAGTCGAGTCTGCCGTGTCTGGAGACAGGTTTACAGCGTATCGAATCCTCGCCTCGTGCCTCCCTAAGAGAGAGAGTGAAGTGATCAATACATTTGATACAGAGGAATAAAAAACCTCACACAATAATTACACATAGCACACAACGTCAGGGGGTACATAATTAGTCAAGTATTGCCGAGGATCATCTTAATCAATCAGATACAGGGAAAGGAACAAGGTATATACGATATGTGGCAGGTTTTTGTCTCTATGGATAAGATTGTGTTAATAAATTAAAAATAGTACATTATCGTACAATATCAGCGCTTATTTCACACGTACTATATATAATACATGGCATGTTCACAAGATCTACTGTTGATGAAAAGGGATCAGTTCAACACCATAGATCGAACAGTTTGGATAGTGAAAATTTTCATACAGCTACATTTAGGACACAATTAAATGGAGCTAGGACAATGCGTCACGCCTTAAAACCAATGTAATACTAATTCAATATGGCAACACAGCTGCTTGCTCAAACACTTTTATTCACATTATGTATGGACTACACAATTAAACACGAAAACCTCTATGAAAACAATACATTGTTTGAGGGTAATCTATTCAATTTTGATATATAAATTATTTAATTGTTCGTTTTTAGCTTTTAGTTCTTATTTGACACTCCCATGTCTATTTACAGGATAAATCAGCTTCAAGGCAACACATGTTTATCAATGTAATCAAAATAATCGTATGGATACATGTACATGTCGATCGAACATTTTAAATATCACACGATCTTAATCGTAACTGATATTCAGTTTGGTACTGTGTGAATAATAAATGCTTAGTTTGTTCTGAATACAAACAGAAGTCAGTTTTCTAATAGCTGATTCCGTTCAAAATAAATCTAACATTTATTTCGTAAACAGGTTATTGATTTTTTCTTTTTGATTAAGGGACAGGACGACAGGGGGACAGAAGACTTATTTGTACAATAATATAATTCTCTGTAGAGTACTGCTGTGTTTGGTCGTCAAATAATGTACAGTGGTGTTTTGTCCTTTGTCACAAACACGTACAGGAAGTCGTAATAGTTGTAACTATCCTCTCCTATAGACGATCGACATGCGTCCCCATACGCAGGGGGATGCTAAGTACTAGCAGAATCACATACTGTTTTAGAATGTTCCGGCGTGCTTGTTTTTCGTTTTATTAAATGGCAATGTATAACCACGGGTAGTATGTCAAAGGACGCAACGGCAGATCGAGTGGTACAGATAGATACCATTATCTCGATGTCTCATATTTGTATTATGATCAATGTGTAATAGGACCGTGTAATGGACCGGTGATCTAAGACCTAAAGGAAAATCCTCCTAACCGTAGTTAGACACTTTGTGAAATGGACGCCTGATTCATTACTATGTGCCCCTTTGTTTAGTCAATTTTTTCACCGTCCTATTAAGGTTCTCCACGACTTAGTACAGGGGTTGTCATAGACACCGTATGATATAGGGAAAGTCTCCCCAGTTGAAGCTTTAACTTATGCATTGACGGGTACTATTCGCCTAGTATTCTGGTCAAATCACAATTCAGTTTCTTTTAATAAAGAGACGGGCGTCATTACAAGCGAGTATTTAATGTATACCCATTATTATTGTTTGTTGCCGGCAAAGACAAGTGTTCTTATTTTAATTGATTTTTCACAATTCAGTTTCTTTTAATAAAGAGACGGGCGTCATTACAAGCGAGTATTTAATCTATACAGTACACATTATTATTGTTTGTTGTCGGCAAAAACAAGTGATTCTTATTTTAATTGATTTTTCCACGTTTCTGATGGTATTTATAGGATATGTTTACATTACATAATTACGGTAACATTTAAGATATAGCAGGAAATGTTCCATGCAATCGCGACAAAAACAAACATCCGGGCGGCAATTGAAAAGTTTGTCGGTGCAAAGTTTTAAAAAGATCAACCTGATAATTGAGCTTATCCGTTTAAGAAATAGCAAGTACGATTTGCACAAAACGAAAACCTAACAATTGAATTGCATTAATAACAAGTGTCAGTATATGTTCAACTTTGGGTATGAACACAAACGTTTGCCAATCTCACTTATTGCATTAACATTAAGTATGCGTCTGTAAAAAATGTCTCCTCCGTGAATTTCAAGAGATAATCAAACTACCAAATCTCCTGGGACGATTAACAGTCGGTGGATAATTTATAGAACTATCACCCTCTGCCTGACTTACAACCTCAATGTAATGGCAGTATATTTCATCTGCTTTCAACCTATACCTCTCTCTCAAGCTAACCTATTACCGGTCACAATGGCTTACCATGTACCTCTCACACTTACTCACACAATTCGTTTCATACAAGCTAATATCATGCTTCTCAGACATAAAATGTATAAATTTGATGGCAAAAAGTATATGAAAACCCTATTATGAACATAACGAATTATCTGTTTTAGGATAAATAAAAGCATTACAATTAAGACGGGACTCCACTTTGTCAATTTAACAACTTATTTTAGTTTGTAAGCATATGTACTTATTGATAAGATGCTAGGCAAAGCCCTTATACATCTTCTGGAGCACTCTCAGAAAGTCATACAAAGCGGAGCACAAAATAGGTAAATGCCCTTACAGGCCTCTTCATGTACATGTAACTTAATATGTACTGCAAAGCGCTATAGAGTGGCTTAAGCTAGCTAGATAGGGCGCTATATCAAATGCTGCATATTATTATTATGTATTACTTAACTTGTAATCGATAGCAATGCTGCGTAACACTCGTTGAACGAATATATTTCAGAACAAGTGTACGTGATTTCTGTAATCAAGATTAGACGGAAGTTCGATCCAACAGGTGAGGGACGGGAAAGTTAATCCATTAGATGCATCACTTGCTAGAAAATTATGTTCTTATTGTCTGCATTAATGTATGTCTTAAACTTCCAAATCGTCGTGGTATTTTCAATGACAATTTTACATCGCCTCACAAAAGAAAGGTTTATAAGAGCCATGTAACGACCAACACAAGCCTTACTTTCTTGATTTTTGTTTCATATACGATGTTCAAGCCTGACACATCTGGTAAAAATATGTCTCCTTCGAGACATCGATTGTCTTCGAACAAAAACTTCATTGATTGGTTACGAATGCAATACACTTTCACATACTTGACTTAAAGCGTCTGATAAAGACATGAAAAAAGCCTGGATGTGTAGACATTAGATTTGGGGAAGGCGGTAAGGTCCTTTACATTGTATTCAATGTAAGTAAAGCGGAAAAAAAACCTACTATATAATTAATGTGTGACCGATATGTATGGAGTGGGACTTGGCGACATTCCACTTTGACAAACACGAATGCGATAGCGGTGTTTATGATACATCAGAGACCTCATTTGAATGTGTCCATACCCAACCTAGGGTGTCAGGTTTGATAATTCGTGCAACTGGTTCCCCTCGAGTGTACAAGTTACAGTATACTGTCTACGTTAGCGACCTTATTATGTATATGTAGTACTGTATACTGGTGATCTATGGCAGACGGTCTAGATACATATCTACGCCCAGACGATACATTATTCTCGGAGAACGGTAGTGGAGAGCTCAAGTCGACACTCTGCTAGGGCTTCAGTGCAACACCAACTGTATGCGTCTGTAATTAAACATACTGTTCCGACGATTTTCGTCAATTTTCGCCACTTTGTACTTGAAACATATATGTTAGCATCTAAGTATTTCTGGGCTTCTCATAAATACCACCAACGAAGTGCTTTGCTTTTTAATGTAGCTACGATACTACACATTGTATCATGTATTTGTCAACACAGCGCAGAGGGATACTGTTTACTTTTTGGGCAGACAGGTTATATAACAATCTATTGTAAGTATAACATTTGGGGAAGGGGAACGGTTGGGGGCAGACTACGCTACTGTTCATTGTAGGCCTGTATAAATATTTTACATCATTTTATTGAGAATAAATATAGTTTAAACAATATTCTGGTGGAAGAAATAAATTGTCTTGTAAAATGTCTACTTTTTTTCTGTCTTACAGCAGTTGTTAAAACGTTGGAGCCACTGGTACAGTAAGGCTGTGTGGGATAATGAAACGATACACTGACTTTTAAATGTGCTTTTGTTTTCGTTACAACGCAACATCGGGTTTTGGAGTAGGTACGTTTCACATAGTTCAGTTGGACAGTATATAAGTGTTTAATTCTAATTATAAAGAACGTGTTATAGTTTCACGATATTGCCATGATACGTAAATATTGTACACATCGGTTGCTTTGATCTAACTACAAGTGTCTATGGAGATTTGTATGGAAGTGTAGGTTACACACACGTTACGTGTTTTACTCGGGAGCCTCTCCTAATTTCGGAGATGAAACGTCACAACTCAAGAGATACCTCAATACCCCATGCGTATGATACAATCCAGTGATAACGTTTCTAATAGAGTGGTGAGATGAAACGACTATACGCTGCAACATATGCATGACTTTTGACAGAGAGGGACACCCTTGTCTCTTCTATATTACGGGAGAATGCACACGGCGTGAAGGCAGCATACATCATACTCGTTTTTGCCAAGGAGATTTTTTTACGGATGTGAGCGTCAGTCAGATTTTTTCTGCAGCAACTTACACGGTGAACTGCAGCTTATAGAGGCCTTTTATCAATCTACACATATCATTGTATATTAATAAAAACCCATGGATCTTGACATAACAGTGCGTACTGTTTCAAGCTAATGATTTGGACCATAATATAATGGATGAAACTGGTGTTGCTAACAGTATGATGATACAACAGTTTAAACAAAACCAAAACTCGAACTCAAAATCGATGAAAGGGCGGAATATAAACAAAATAAAGGTTTACATCGAGACCCTTGAAAAAGTATAAGGAGCATAAAACCAGGTGTTTCGGTAAGAATCTTTTACTTAAAACTGAGGTTAACGTCGATAGTGAAAGCGAAATCATCAGACCAATTTATTAGCGTTATAACAAGTGCACAAGTTAACAAAATAATCCCCAATAGA